GCCCCTGAGTTAACAAGCAGAAATCTCTTGCTCAGTGAAGCTTCGTTAAAGTTGCCAATTTGTTTCTTTTGGTTGAGCGACTAAATATCCGACCTTTGGTTCTGCACAACAGCAGCAGATGTAACAACTCTGCTACAAGAAAGGATCTAAGGATGACAGTCATAAAGGAGGTTGGATCGGCACTTTGTTTGTGGCTGAAATACTCCAACAACTCTCAGGTTATTGCAGTGAAATTCTGTATGTTCAAACTGCTCAGGGGGTGACTCGTATGAATCAGACCTCCTCTGTAAGCAAACATTAGCTCAATCCAAGCTGACTCAGAGACTACTTTGGAGACATATGACACTGGATGGCTGGAAAATTCCCTCCTGATGAAAGGTCGAAAAAACTGGTCAGTATCTTTCTCACGTCAGATATTTCCTCTCCAGCAGCCTCGGCTAGTTTTCCTACCAGATTATTCCAACCGATTTAATGCTTGTGTTTTGTAAATGTTCAATAATGTTACAAAGTGAATACAAGTGATGGGGAGTGTGTGTCTTTGTGCATTTTTGGCTCAGTGGCCTGCACAAAAGGCACTATGTGTGAGAGTGGAGCAGTGGATTTATCAGTAAGACTGAAACTATAACCCACATACATGTAGACAGGCCCCTCAGGATCCAGATAAATATCTGCGTTTACATGGGCACAAATAATCAGAATAAAAATGTGTCATGTAAACATGTTGATCGGAGGATTCTGATCCTATTCGGGTGATTTTTGCCGATCGTTATTCCAAAACGCATCCATGTAAACACTTACTCCGATCGTGACTGTCTTACTTGATGCAATCTTTCCTCTTTAGCCTTTGGTTTATTCATTGAGGTCAGTACATGAGGTTTCATTATTAACACCCTAGCATAAAACACAACCGCAGGTGCCGTGTCTGCTCCCCCGGTAACATAAAAAGGCGTATTAGTGTTTGTTTTAGTGAAATCAGACAACTCTGCGCATGTCCAATTTTCGAATGAAGCTTGGTGCATGTATACGCATGTTATGATCGAATTATTTGATTTTGCATCCATATAACCAGTGGATTCAGATTATCCGATCCCTCAAATTTATAATTGGATCAAGAAATTTTGCCCACGTAGACATGGCTAGTGGAACTAAGCTAATTTGGGTTAGCTCAAGCCTCTGCTGACCCAAAACACGCCACAGAAGCTGGTTCAAAACAAAGTCCACACTGTGACTACAACGCTAACGGAGCTTCAACCAAAATAAATAATAATAAGTTTTCCTCTTTGCTAGCTGGTCCAAGGACTGCACATGTCCAGATCCCCCTGAATGGTGGTCATTTATGGGCAGGGGTGCGTGCCAGGAAACCAGCACAGGTTTTTAGTAGCAAAGACTTTCATGTAACTGGACTAATATTTTTTTTTAGGCTTAGACTGGACACAACTTGTAGTTCCATCACATCCTTACTTTTCACTGGCCTCACAATACACACCCACAAAGCACCTGGCATTGATTGACCAGCAAAAGTGTCCTGCACACTAAAACCACAGTTTTGTCTTTAGAGTCTGCAGACTTTCAGGACGGCGCTCTTTCCCAGATTATGTATAAAGAAACATCTTCTTGGACAAAAAGGTCGTTTCAGCAGAGATCTTTTCTGTAATGTTGTCAGACATTTTAAGTAACAATCTTGGCCTGTCAGCAGCAGAAACAAAATCTTTTGGTGGATGTATTTATTCGGCTGCTCTCGCCCTCGAGGATTAGTTTCCTGCTGAAACATCTGCTCTGTGTTTGCCAGCTTTACTTATCTGCTGGAGGAATTCCAGCTCTTAATGTTTGTCATTTAGACATTTGGAATAAGTGAAAAAATACAGCCCTGGTTAATAAATGACAGAATTTTCTTTGCTGCTGTTAATGTCCATGAAAAGTGCGATTAAAAACTGCAAGGTGGTTTTTTGTCATTATTTCAGTTTTGAACATTTCCATTTTTTTTAACTCAACAGATTTTCTTTCCGGTTTGCCATGTGCACTCTCTCCATATGCATACATCTGCTCACTGAGTGGTAATCCCATTAACGCACACGTGATTATGAGCATTATTTGAATGAATTATGATCTTTGCCCGTAATGTCACACAAAAGTTGGTAATTATTCATTAACCTCCATGAGTGTTCTGCTATGTGCATCATTAACATTTTCCTGCAGCTTGACTGGCAGCATTATATAAAACATACCCCATTTGCTGCTCTCTAGGATGCGAGGCAATTAAAGAGCAGTATTTCTCCCTCTCATGAAGTAGGTCGCGGCTAATTGCGTTTGACGATGAAGAGTGGGAACATACTGCGGCAGAAATTACATGCAAGGCTTGTCACAACGGCTGTATTAATAAACATGAAGATAAAATGCCTGTGGAGTTTGTCCTCTGATTTCTTTTGACAGCACAAACTAAGCGTTCATTTGGCTTTTAACTCATTAAAATAGAGATTACTCAAATGTATAGATTGAATATTGTGAATAATAAACTGCAGTAAAGTTCTGATTTCTCACGGGGCTGACTAAATCTTTCCTGCTCGCTGGATTCAAAAACAAAACGCCCGTCATGCTGTCATTTTAATCTCCTCCTTAACAAAGCTTGTTGCAGAATGAAATGATTAAAAAGTTAATAATGTGCTCTGCAGTAAGTATTTAATTGAGCTATGAAAAATAAGATATCTCCTTTCACCAGTGTCCGCTTGCTAAGCACACATTAGCTCTGTGTTCTCAGATTACGCTTAATTGTTTTTTTCACCCCTAATGGTCCCTGGATTCAAACAGGGCTGTAGCTTCCTGGCAATGGAACGCTATTATGGCCAAATTTATTAAACCCCCTGTGATTAGGTTATGAAAATGAGTTTTGTCTGAAGCTGAGGAGATATTAAAGTGTCTTTGTTTATAATTAATCACATGATAAGCCCAGTATTGACTCCAGTCCACAGTTACCTCTGACTGAGCGACTCCTGGGAATACTTTCTTCTTTAATGATCCTTTTTTTTTTTTTCAACCAGATGAAAGTTTTATGAAGTTAAAAAATCCCTCCTGTTTTAAAAAGAGGACTGGCCAAGTATGCAACTTTAAATCACTGTTACGACTATGTGCAATCCAAACAACATAAACAGACAAGGACAAATGTAAACCTGCTGAAACGGAGTGAGGAAAATAAACTCTTAGTTTGCTTTTATGTGGAGGTTTGGATTCTCCAAATTAACCTGATAAAGTTAATGCAATGAAACAATGCCAAAGTGCTGAGTCAGACTTTTTCAGAGGTAGAGTAATAACCTGTCTGAACTTACGGACATTGCAGAGTTTGTCGCCCAAATAGCTCTAACTTAGGTACATTTGCAGGCTATAAGCTTTGATTTCTTGCAAATCAAAGCTTATATATGGCTGATTCTGCCCTATTTCTCCTGTGGCACAGTTCAGACAAACTAGTAACATAGTTGGAAGATGCTGTGTGTGGAAAAAATTTGTATGGATGAAGATTTTTGATAGTAAAAACATTACAGCAGCTTTCTGTCCTCAAAGATCACTAACTCTTCACTGACTAGAGGGGTCAAAAAGTGAGCACTTAAATCTTGAATATGACTGATAGGTATTACAACACATTCTCATTTCTAATAAGCATCAGCTATATGTGAGAGTAATATAAAATACATATAAAATAGAAGTACATTCCAAGTTAAATTCATTTAAATAATCGGACGAGTAGCAAAGAATATAATGGAATGTAAGTAGAATTGTGTGTGATAGAATAGATCAGAATATAATGGAATAGTGTGATAGAAGAGGATAAAGTAGAATAGAATAGAGTGGAAAATAATAGAATAGATTGGAATGGAATGGAATGCAATTAAATAGAATTAAGTGTTACGAAACAGAACAAATGAGAACAGAATAAAGTAGAAAATAATAATGGAATAGAATAGAAAAACATTATAGAATGTCATAAACTAGAGTATAGTTTAGGATGTATAGTCTGTTATAGAATAGAACAGAAATCAACAGGAAAGAATGTAATAAAATAGAATAGAACAGAATGGTTTTAAATGTATCAAATAGAATCAAGTTTTAGAGAACAGAATAAAATCAAGTAGAATTAGATGTGATGGAATATAATAGAATACAATATAATAATAGAGTGTCATAAACTACTACAATACAACAAAATAGATAAGAATCTAATAGAGTGGAATAGAATAGAATAAAATCCAATCGAGTAGAGGAGAATAAAATCCTATAGAATAAAATAGACTAGAAAAGTTTTATTGTCATTGCTCATGTACAATAAAATTGATTGCCATACTATCAGAGGCAAATAATAATGTGGAAGCACAAATATATGAATGAATACAACAATTACCATAGACTGAAGACAATCTAGACATGAAATAGATATCTACGTATATTTAATTATAAGTTTTTTTAAATATACCATGTGGCTCTGAACATCTACACCCTCATCTAAATGGATGATGACACATGGGCAGTGAAAGCCAGTCCTTCTCTAGGGTAATCAAACGGGCTTTACCAGTGTTTTATGAAGTTGGATTAAGCGTCCCCTCTGTGTTGACTCCCACACCCTCACACCAACAATCTGGTAAAAGCGAGAGAGGTGAAAGAAAGAGGGATGGGATAGCAGAGCCAGGGCGAGGAGCCTGTTTGGGCTCAAATACAATTCAAAGCGTCCCAAAATGAACAAAAATGATTGGCTTTTACTTTGAGTGGTGCCAAAACGTTGGACTCTCTTGAGAGAGCAGTTATTTCCGTCGCTTATTTGCTGCTGCTATTGTTGTTTCTGTGTTTTCCACCTCCTATAGTTTTGTTTTGAATCAGATTCATGTGGTTCAGCCATTTCTGCCACCCATCCACCTTTCAACCCATTTACTAGCGTTAAAAGATAAATGGCTGTTGTGCTTCTCTCTCTGTCCCCTGGCTGTCATACTGTTGTTGTCCAACGTAAGTGATGGCGATGGCAGAAAAGTTATGGCGAGCAGCAGGTGGCTACACGGCTCCATTATTTGGTCTTTGATCCATAGAACAAAATAATGGCACAGACACAGTTGGTTTCCAGGCCGCGTGTCCAAAGCCCTCATGGCGCTAGACACAGTGAAAAAACATCAAAGAGAGGCTTTACAGAGGGGCATCGCTGCTGTCTGTGCATCGCTCACTTACCTCTGATAACTCATGACGCTTTGCTCAGTTGGGCTTTAACTGGAAAAGCACACAAACATCTGCAGAAGCTCAGCTGGGTTCATGGAAACCGTTTCATCAGAACCAGCAACAGTTAAAGTCGGGTCACTTCCCTATTGAAGCAAAGCAAAGACGGCTGTCTGTGGAGCGACTGCTCATCTATCATGATGATAAAGATTCAAAACAGAAAATAAACATCCAAAATGGGCCTTTTATTAGAGACGGCCACACGTACAACAAGCACACTCTTTCTAGAGTTAATTAAACATCAAAATGAAACGAGACAGACTGATAAGAACACGACACAGATAACAGGCTCTTATTAAGCTCTTTAAACACACTGCTGAGATACAGACTGCTGGTCAAACTGTTTCCTTTGCTGTTAGTAAATGTGCACAATGGACAAAACAAGCCGGTGCTCATTTTCTTTCTTGTGAGGAAGACGATTGTAGCCTCCTGGACTCCAAAGGGAAATTATTAAACATCTCAGTAAAGTAAAGGAAGGCGTTGAAGAGATACCAACAAATTTATTTTCCCAAGGTCTCGGACCAGTGGGAATGAAATTGGCACAAAATTTCACATCGATGGGGAAGAATAGATTTTTTCACCAACCAAGCCCTCTAGTTCAATCACCAGAGTGTTCATTTGAAACCATATAATTGTTCTTCATCAATCCACACCAAAACACTTGTCCACTTCAAGTACCTTTCCATCTCAAACCAACCTGTTACTGGGGCGGACCGAAGGGGCTGCTTTTCTGCTGCAACTGGAGTCTTTGGAGTGTAAAAAAAAAAGCTATTAAATCAAGAAAGCAATCCCTGACGCTGATAAATACTGAGCAAATTATATTTACAAAAAAAGTGTTGACATAATAAACTTTGCCACAAAATCATTAAGGATTTGTTATTTCACCGAGATCAATCAGAGAGAAAATTAATGACGGGGATAAGTGCCAGGAAACAGGATTTTTAATTGCACAGAAATGTAGAAACTCAGCTAATTAATGCAGTCAATTAGATTCTGTGATATTGACTCACTTGTCGGCCAAATTATTTCTTTTCCAAACGCTACAACATATCATGAATTTAAATTACACATTTCCAGCTCTCAATGTAAGAATACTACTTTTGTCATTTAAACTTGGACTTAATTCCAACCAAAGCCAAAAAAATGGCCACAGCAAGAACAAATCCAAGAATTTTGGCCACTTTTAGCCCCCGTCATACAAAAGAATATCCTTGGTGACGTAGTGGATTGTAAAAATAGCACAGGAAACTATTTTTAAATAGTCTAGGTCAATGAATTAAGTTCATTTATGATCACAGCTGGCTCGGTCTGCTCTGTTTCCATGTACTGGGAAATGTGCCGACTAATTACCCATTAAACGCATCAATATTCTGCATTTTTAATTGGAGGCACACTGTGAGGCATTTAGCACAGTTCACTATTTAAGTGTGGAAAAAACAATCAGCATATTGATCAATGTTTTACCAAAGAACAGCTCGGCTAAGCAGCGGTGGGTAATCTGTCTGCTTCCTTTGATAAAACACAAGATCCCACCGGGGAATTATTCCGCTTATTTGACTCCACCCACCCCACCGATGGGATTACTTTATTCTGCGGCTCTTCTCCCTCTGAGATATGTTTTGGTAAAGTGCACACACACACACACACTCCAGAGATGGAGTTATAATCCTGTGTGTGTGTGTTTGCGCTCCGGGGTTTATCATAGTGGACCACACCTTCTCCTTGTGATGTCGAGCATTCATCCAGACAGAGCGCAGGACTCCCGTGTCTCACTGTGTGGTTCTGATGCCCCCCTGCTGATGCTCCCCAGCTCTTTCAACTGACCCAAAACTCAAAACCACCTGCAGCAGCTCAAACACCAGCTCTATGTTCGCTGTGAAGCCTTCAAACGTTATGAATTATAGATAAGAACCAACCTTATTCATCCTGAGGAAAGTTGGAGTTGCTGCGGTTGTGGTACAAAGAAAGAAAGAGTGGTAAGAAAAAAAGTGCAACCATGAAATATTGTAAGTAAAACTAGCGACAAGTTGATAAAAATCCATAAAATACAAACAAGGTCAACAATCACTGTAAAAAGTTGTCTCAGTTTTTTAAAGCTGGGCCGACACTTTAAGTTGACCAAATACTCATGCTAACAATATTACTGCGCAAAATTAGATAAAAACAACAACGCTGATATTTAAATTCAAGAGATGCAAGAAAAGGGTTAAGTGGCACAATACTACTGTAACTTTACAAACTTAATAACATGCTATCATCCATTTTTAATAATGCTTACACTTATGATTTATTTATGTGACCAGCTCTCTTACAGAAACTTCCACAGATACAAAATCGCCTTATATATAATCGTCTGTCATGCTTTTATTTTGAGATTTTCACCGTCTTGTTCTTAGGTTGCCTTATTTCTTTCACATTACACTAAATGTAACGAGGATTGGCAACCGAGCAGCAACCTCCAGATTTGAGAAGAGAGGCAGATATGGAAGTGGAAAAAAAAAACAAAAAAAAAAAAACTGCAGTTCCTTAAGTGTCCACTAGAGGCTGCCTCCAGGAGAACCAAAAACCACATACACACCCTTTCACAAAATGGTCCATTTTTGCCTGATACAAAAAAGAAGGTTTTGGGCCTGAATAGCTTGTTTCTCTATCGCCACACATTGTACTTACAGGTTCTTTTTGAAGATATTAAGGTTATGAATTTGGCGGATTAGACATCTCACAACAGGAATTGCTCTTTAGTACTGTATTTAATTCATTAATCCTGACATATTACCTTAATTATTGAGAGATTATATCTGGACAGTCTCTGGAAATACACCAATCTGCAACAGAAATGCAATGTTTATTGCCAAAAAATGCCGCTCTCACAAAGTGAGTGGATTTCACTGTAAGTTGCTACAATGTACTGTTATATTATCAGATATATAAGACAGTATTTCCCTAACAGGGACACTATATTTTGATATCTTGCCCCAAAAACTAAAAACTCACAAAGACAGCATGACCAAAACCCAAGTTCCCATACAAATAGGAGCTGGGAACTTCTCCTGCACACCACAATAGAACCCCTGCTATCTGATACCCTGAAGCCTCATGCTGTGCTCAGAAAACTGCACCATACATCCCTCTTCAATAAGGTTCTTCCTGTCCTGCTGCAGAGAAGATGAAGGTGGATCAGGGCAGCAGAGAGCAGAGCAGAGGCCAACACGGGGGTTTCTCACAGACAGATCTCTCATTCGTTTTGACAAGCCTGGCAGTCTGAGCTGCAGAGCAAACAGCCAGTTCACATGGCTCATATATCACCCATCAGTAGGGCTGCACACACACTAACATGTATCACACAAACATGTATCACAAAGGGTACCCACACAGATTTCAGCCTTTATTTATCAGGGGAATGTCAGATCCTCTCAGTAACACCTGCCTCATATCCGCATATGTGAACTTTTCAGACCAGGGAAACTCTGACTGTTACCTGGTATCTGCTGAAAAGTTGGCAGCTAAACGCATTGCCCCAAGGGCTCTTCAACAAAAGTGAAAATATCAATTATTTATTTTATTTACTCGCGTTTTCCCACACACTAGAATTTCAAAATGCTAAACTATTTCTGAGCCGGTTTCTAGAGAGGCAGAGAGGAGCTCCCCAGAGGTCCCGGATCTGAGCGCAAACACAGCCAACAGAAAGCCCAGGTAAGAAGTTTGCCTCTGGTATCTTATCTGCTGCTGAACCTGGTGGGATATCTGATTTAACACAGAGAGAGAAGTAAAAACCTCCAGTTTGTTGGTGTACGCAGAGTCACTATTGCCCTCTTCAACCCAGTATCACTAAAAGCTTACATCGTGTTTACTCTGAATATGTTTTAAGTTCAAGTTTTTATGTCTTTTATTCAATTTCATGTCTTGCAGCATTTACAGAGATGTGGAGAATATTTCTTCCATCACAGAATAATATCATTTGTGTGATGGATTTAAGGGTTCATGGTCAAGGTTTAAAGCCGTCTTTGGTATCCCTGAGAGGGGCAGTTTACCCATCCCTCTGTGAATATTGTTTTTGTTGGCCGGTCACCAATCCTCCTCTTTTATTTCATGACACGGTGAAACTGCAACGCTTCTACTTGTCAGATTTGAAAGCCACAGTCTGAGCATTCACAATATCCGGCCTCTAAATTACACCAGATACATGATCAGTCCGTCCCCGCTTTGCCAGGGTTTCCACTTTAGTCAATCAGAGTAGAGGCAGATCAAACATGGATCTTGTGGAAATCGTGTGTTAGCCTCTCTCATGCCTTTTTCCAGCTCATGTGTCCATTTCCAATCAAAAACAGCTTTGTCTTTTTTACAGCCTTTCTTATTCTTATGTCTAATACCCGACTTCCTGGCGATGCATTTATGTTATCTTGGATACTCAAACGATGGAGCATATACAGAACACTCAGGACGGTTTGAGACAGACTAAAGCCCATAAATGCAGGAGGAAATCAACCCCAGCTGTATCATCTAGGCATGTTAGTCCAACTTTAGGAAGTTACATTCCGTGTATTCAGACTTCTGTTTGCATGCATCAACAATCTTGCCGTCAACAACGGCAGAACAAACTAGTCCAGCTACGGTCAGACGACTTCAATAATAGATTTTTTTTAAATCATGTAAACTTTCTGGTTGCTCTGTACTTGCACAGGTCCAGGAAGAGATTAATGCTACGTTCTGGTTGTACTCGGAAGTGGGAATTTCAAACTCTGAGTCTAAAATTCATCTGGAACGCCCCCCTGAAGTCAGATTTCCGACTTCCGACCAGTCAGATTTCCAATTTCCGACAAGATGGCAGCGCAATGCATCAATAGTGAAGAGTAACAGTGAAAGCTGTCGCAATGTATTATTTATGAGATCTTCTGTTTTGTTTTTGTGAAATTAAATAAGTGGTGTATGTTGTTCTGCCCAATGTCTAACTGTGAACACGGTGCTGTGGTGTTTGTAAGAGTAAAATACTGTGTTAGGTGTTGTTTACAACTGGTATAACTAACAACTACAAACAACAACTGACAAGGGCTAACGACAGCTGACGATTGTAAACAACAGCTAACAACGACTAACTGTAGGCGTCCATCTTGTTTGTTAACTAGAACTCCATCAACTCGGGTGTAACATTATTCCCGGCTCCGACATCCAACTTCCGAGGCAACTGGAACGCAACATACAGTACAGGCCAAAAGTTTGGACACACCCTCTCTTTCAATGCATTTTCTTTGTTTTCGTTACTATTTAAATTGTAGATTCTCAAAACTATGAATGAACACATGTGGAATCATGTGCTTAAGAAAAAAGTGTGAAATAACTGAAAACATGTTTTATATTTTAGATTTCTCAAAGTAGCCACTCTTTGCTTTTTTGATAGCGCTGCAAACTTTAGCTGTTCTCTCAATGAGCTTCATTAGGTAGTCACCTGAAATGGTTTTTACTTCACAGGAGTGCCTGAAGTAACCCTGACAAGGTACTTCTGTCATCAAGAGCAAAGCGTGGCTATTTTAAAGAAACTAGAATATAAAACATGTTTTCGGTTATTTCACACTTTTTTTATAAGTACAAAATTCTACATGTGTCCATTCATAGTTTTAATGCCTTCAGTGATAATCTACAATGTAAATATTCATATAAAAAAATAAAGAAAAGACATTGAATGAGAAAGTGTGTCCAAACTTTTGGCCTGTACTGTATGACACTTCGGGTCTTTGCGAAACGGACATCCCCCGTCATTCTGTGTTTACTGTGCAGGAAATCCTTCTTATCACCAATTGATTGTGAAAACTTATGATGAGAGATGAATGTGAATCCAAATGAATTGCTGCACAAGAATCTCCTGCTAAACATGCATGTGATCCACACATGGTGCTGCATGCGTGACAGCAGAAAGAAGTACACCGTACATGTCTGCAGGTGGACAACATCTTGGCGATAAGCTTGACTGAAGGCTCTGGACAAACAATGTTCAAAAGTTACTCACACACATCAGCACAGAGGCAGCCGTCTGTTTCTGTGTGATCCGCCTTGGTGCTGGAGGGGTTTAGGGAACTCACAAGGCTGTTCTCTGTGTCTGGACTGAATAAAGCAATGACCTTGTGGAGAGTCACTGTGGGGCATCGCTGCTGGTGAATGAAAACCTCGTGCCTTCTAACTACACTCCATGGTCACATTACACACAACATTATTCTTTCTCTTCGCGTGTGATGCAGGACTCACACAGGACGGCAGGCAGGTGGACACACCTGGCACTTTGGGGGTCAAATATTCAGTGTTTTGTTCTCTAACAAGGTTATCAGTCACTTATGCAGATGTTTTGTTAAATATTGATAACTGTCAGTGTTTCCCTGAGCGTGGAGAACTTTTTACTTTATTATGAGTTGACTTGTTAAAGTATTAAAACCATGGCTCTCAGCTTTTCTGAGTGGAATTTAAGATAGCTCATGATTTACAAAATATTAAAAGGAGCTTTTTTTTTCCTCAAAGACTTCAGGGCCTAAAAGAAACAAATGTCTGCCATTCGTCTTCAAGGTTTTATCTCAATGGGGGAACAACCATGGATCTCAATAATACCTCCCAGTCTTGTACTTGAGTCCAGAGCTCAGACATGAAAAGACAAGAATGTGATGATTTAGTATAAACAACCTTCCACAGCTGCAAACTCATCATCATAACTTTCCAAACAACCTGCTCGAGAATATAGACCCCTGGACCGGATTTGACAAACCCTATCAACTATTAACTGGACTACCAATTACACCAAATAGTACTAGAGTTGCATGATTGCATACAAAACTGGATAGAGGTGACATGTATCTGAAAACAAGCGTCCTTCCTCTCTCCTAAATTAGAGTCAAATCTGTCATGTTGTTTTCTGTTCATTTAGTTTTTCCCTGCTTTTGTTGTTTAAGTGTATTTTCTTGGTGTTTTTCCCTCGTGTTTCTGTTCCCTATTGTTCCTGTGATCCTGTCTTGTGAGTTTTCAGTTTGTGTTTGACCCTGTTTCCCTCCTGTTCTTAGTGTCATTCTTTAGATCACTTCTCAGTGTTTCCCATTTTATTTTGTAGTAGTGGATTCCTTGTGTTTCTAGTCTCAGTTTCACCTGTGTCTCATCTGCCTCACCTGTTGCTCGTTTCCCAGTGTGTATATAGTCTCTGTCTTCCCCTCTGTTCTTGTTTGTTCATTGTAAGTCGATGTGTGTGCGTGTCTTTTGTTTGTATTTTGCTTCTTGTTTTCTTTGGAAGTAAGTTTTTTTTTTTTCTTTTTATTTCTCTCTTTTTTGTTTAGGTCATTTTTTGTTCTGCATTCGGGTCCTTTTTTTGTTCTTCAACTCTGCCATGTGACAAAATAACTACAAAATTCCTCCTGGGCACCTGAAACAGATCAGTATGAGTCATCATGTCAGTAAACATGTTTTCACAGATGGTTGTTTTTAAGAAAACAGGTCAATATATCAGACTTCTTGATGAAGAGATGCGCTGATTTAGCTCCACTGGGTCTGTTAAAACCAATTTTTCGTACCTCATGTCCCGCCAACAACACTATCTGATTGGCTAGGTGTGACACCATTGTACTTAAGCTCTGAGATTTACAGATAGTTTTTCATTTTTACTCTCTGTGCATATTGGCATCAACATATCAGCAACTGTCTCATGAATTACTAATAATCATTACTGGTATTGGCCCCAATTGAAAAAACAATTTTTGTCAACCTTGAATACTGTCTTTATTTGAGATAACTCGACAGAATGAAAACTCTTTTTTTTCTTTCGTAATGTGTTGAATGTTATTTTATCTTTAGAATCTTTAGGACTTATAAAGTTAAGAAATCGTCCCATCATAACATCAGTCGTACAGTATTTCAGCCGAACCATATGAATTCACCAATTCCTCTGTACTCCTGCAAAGCATAAAGAGCCGTTTTGCCAAGACATAAAGCTACTGAACCCATCCCTTTAAATATGACTTTAATATTACAATGACAGGACCAATATTTGATTTTTATGGCCTTGCCTCCCGCTTAAGTAAATTAGACTGAACTATGAGTCTTGGAGGTGTCTGACACTTCCCCTCTCAGCATACGTCTTCTGTTTTAAGCCCAAACTGCCTATTTGACAAGCTGGTCCATGAACTTTAAAGTCACCTTAATATTACAACTTTAAAAAAAGGAAAAACCCCATTTTACACAGAATAGAAGACAAAGTACGGAGGAGAGAGATAGAGGCAGCAGGACAGGAGAGAGTCTCAGCGTGTCAAACCCAAATACTGTTATACTTGTTATAATTCATTATTATTTCAATGACAGGGGTCTTGGTCTGAAGGTGACTTCATTACATTACAGGTTATTGCCTCATATATCAAACTTGGGTGGCCCCAATTTTTAGGCAGCAGAAGTGTCTGGCTGACTGTGAAATTGACTGCTCTCCATCACAGAGTAATTAGATTAGCCTGCTGGTTATGTATAAAACAGGAGCAGACAGAGTTAGCTGCTCTCCTGAGGCAGCCGGTGGGGACGAATCAGAGACACAGAGAAGAGAGGAGGGCGCTCAGGTGTACTGTAGTCTACTGTACGCAGAGTCGCTGGTCTGAGTTTGCGCCACTTCAAGAATGAATCTAAAATTTAGAAATGTCAGCATGTGAGTTTAAGATTTTAGGCCCTGGTTATTTCAAATGAGTGAAGACAAAAGTGATGAAAACCAAGCGCCAGTTTTTGGTTTATGGATGTTACACAATGGGAGTGCACTCCAGCTGGTTTTTCACTAAGCTTCTTCAGTTACCAAGAAAAAAGTAAAATGAAAAACAATGAAGCTTCAAACGTAAAGAAAAAGAAGAAAAAGAAACTACCCAGAGGACTGGAAGATTCAGTCAAAGAGAGTCAGTAAAGAAGCTGTGCTGCACAGGGACTCCTCCACTACAGAGTCGTTGTATGTTGTTGTAAAATAAACAGATCGGTTTTGGCAGTGTGAAGGTTTTCCTGAAAATGGCTTTGTCTGGGTATATGTTGCCCAAGAGCAGTTTGCAAGACATCTATCCCAAAAGCACTAATGCATCACCATATGATCGGGGATGTTGGTTTCTCAACTCTGTGCTGATAACAATACATCCATGATTTCCAGAAGGAAACCTCTTCATCTCTTAGCCTATCTGAAATGATGGCACAGTTTCATTTTTGTATGGCGCAGTTTTAACCTGCTTTCATAGATGCAATGGCAAGCTGGATTCACTCTCCATGGTTTTTGGTGAACCTGAGCCCATGCAGTGATTTCCACGACAGAGTCAGGTCTGTTTTCTAATGCAGTGATCAGGCCGTCTGTTTTTGGCCTTGTCAGTTTTCTATCATCTCTGGATCTTTAATGATAAGAGATAAGGAAACGAGGACCTGAAAAATGAGCGTAGGTCTTTCATTAAATAAAATATCTTTTTGGTTGTATTATGCAGTCTGTTGAAGATGACACTGACAATCAAAAGGTCCTTGGTTAAAAGCATAAAAATATTAAATTTTTTATTTTTTAATTCATCATGTAGGAGCACTTGTATACTCTTTCACATATGCAACCATTTTTTTTAATTCTCTAAAGGTAAATTTTGATCATTTAAAAAGTTTGAACTCATTTATTTTTCACTCAAGGTCAAAAAAACAGGATAAGTGCTTCAAGAGTTGTCACAGTCTGTGATTACTAGTTAAAAAAAAAAGAAAGTGTTGCTTTTTTCATCCTATTTGTTTCTGCTTATCTTCTAACACTTAATCCCTTTCATGTCTTAATCAAACCTCCTTTATAAGCTTTACTAATCAGCAGTATTTTACATTATTCAACATTGCATTTGCAGATATAATCTTTTTATACAAACAAAGTTTAAATTACTTTTGCGCTAAAACTCATTTCCCTGAGGACTAACATGCAGTGGGTTTTTCTGTACTGTGTTTTAAATGTATGGTTATGTTTATATGTATCACTTTGCATCTATGTGCATTAGCATTAGCTTAACTGAGTGTGTTGTATTTTTTTTCCACTAAATTCACATTGGGAGCAACAGTGGGATAATAAACTAATGTGCTTTTTTTAGATTGCTGCATATTTCACGTTTGCTGCCTTTGTTCTGCACCGCTCGTATATTGTCATCCAGCTGCGTTCCCGTTCTCTACTGCTAGAGACATCTCATTTGTAGTGTTCACATGACGTTTACACCATGGTGTTTATATCGAACTGCCTGCCTTTAAGCTGGAGGGTAACTGCATCATGAGGCGGCTCACAGTACTGAAACAGCATCTTTACAGATGAGAAGTCAGTGTTTTGATTTGTGCATTAATACGGTTTTACAGTCTTCTATGTGTGTGTTTGTGTGTGTGTTCCTGAAAATGAATCCTCATTGTGACAGGTTGTGTTTATACTGTATTGCTGTGCGTGTGGGTATGAGATAAGAAAAAACATCATTAATCCCTGCAGGGAAATCGTGTCATTGCAGAGGCCAGAGAGAGAAAATCATCAATTTATGGGGAATTTAACATTCAGCCACAATGCATCGCTCCTCTCATAGCATAACCTCTTCTGTCATCCTGCGTGCTCACTGACAGGCATCGGCAACAACAATGATCCCTCAAACTTATTTTTATTTAGTGTTTCTCCGGGACAATCTCAGACAAATCCAATCCACCCGCTAAGATGATAGTGGAAACAGAGACACAGTGAAGAGGCGGTGCTTTCCTGAAGAGGGGCCCACAGTACCAGGGTGTAGATGCACCCAGGACGGGCCTGTAGCTTAAGCAATCGCCTACGTCTCAGTTAGTAATAACACTTTTGTGCTCATACATCTTTATGCCCGCTGCAGATTGGGTCTACCGGATTCATGCATTACAAATAATGGTATCAGAATTCGGGGAATGTCAACGATGTTGGAGCTAATACAGAGGAATGTGTAATTGGATCAAAATCTGCTTTTAGTGCCTGCTTAATGTATTATTTATTTTTTTGAATCTTAGGTTAAGAGCCATTAGGTAACACAGCACAGGCATACCCTACCTGGTCCATGAGTTTCATATACGCCAAATGATAAATGAAGTATGACATTACATGTGACATTCACCCATTCACACCACATTTATACACTGATGGCAGAGGCCCCTATGTATAGAGCCCATTCGTTTTTGACTTTTAGTACTTTTCTGTAGCTTATAGTCGATGGACACGGTCGCATTATTGTATATTTTGGGGCAAAAAAGTCACATTCAGATGCAAAATACAGCCCCAGATGAATTGAAAAGTACATTTTCAGGAGACAGGGCGAACAGAAACCCCGCTAACTTTAGCATGCAAGCTCGGTCCATTGATTCACCCTTGCCCATACTAAGGGATGCTAAATGGTTGTCTGTTTTCTCTGCAGAGGTCAATACACTGACGTGGTAATGGAGCTCTTTCTGGATGAAAAGACAGAGGTGTTGTGAGGAAACGCATTGAGGAGAAATTCAATAGCTCCGTTCATCTTTCTTGATTCACTGGCCTGTACTGTAGAACTAGGAGGCATCTGTGCTGATGGGGTCACCCTGCCCGTTTTATGGTATTGAACTGCTTATTCCACAACAAACTCAAAGATACAAGTTGAGGGCGCTCAGAAATTCTTTTATAAAACTTTTCTCCCTTTATACTTCATGTCTATTTCTAAATATCTAAACATAAATTAAATAATCTAAATATTTTCAATGTTTACACTGTGAATACTTGTCAGACTGGGAGTTTTCTTTTAAGGTTCATGATAAAGCAAACTTTAAAAAATAGAATAAAATAAAACCTCTGCATTTCCAAAACTCTTGTATTTGCAATATTTGTCACTGGGCTCTATTATGATAATCAAAATCAATGATGCTTATTCATCCTCACTGAGCTGACACTTGGTCTGTCAGCCTAAATCAAGGTTGTGATTGATTTTTTGCTATTCAGACGTGCAGCTCTGCTGACCCAGCTGCCATAACAGGAAGAAAAATTTACATACAACTATTCTGAATAAAACAGATATCGGTGTGATTCGTATTCCCTTCCTATCTGACTCATGTCTTGTTAAATTCAGTCAGAAAACAACATCCCTCAAGGTTGAAAAAAACAGGGCTGACATTTGTTTGGAGTCAGCGAGGGTCCAAGAGTCACTAAGGTCAGAGCAACACCCTTTGTAGGTCCCACCATTCAACCGAATCACTCACCTCCCCAGGGGTTTCAGCAGGATATGACAAGGTCACAGTGCTTCCACGGCTGCCACAGGGAGGAGACCTTTGCATGACCTGAAGCTGGGGCTGACTTTACAGGACATTTTCTGTGACTTCTAAAGTTGTTGGGTATTTTATTCCTGGTGAGAACAGTGACTATCTGAAGTTATAAACCTCTCCGGCATCTTTACAACCGTTCAAACTTGAGTTTTACAAGGACGGCCTAATTCTTGGGGGTGCTCCAAGAGTTTTCAGAGCCTTAAATTTTGGACAGGAAATACAGAGGGTTGAAACAAACAAGAAAGTGGATTGTGCTTGAGTTTGGAGTCAAACACAGAATACTTTCTGAGAGGACTACATTTCTAAAGATGAGATAAGTGTCCTTGTGTGGACAGCTCACATAATCAACATTGTACACTTGGCTAACACTCCTGGTATCCTTTTTGGACAACCAACGACAAACTAAGAAAATCAGCAGTAAGTAGAGAAAGCTGCAGAAAAACGAACAGAACAGAAATAGAATTGAAACACAACCATTCTGTCCAGTTCTTCCTGTGCTCTTGACATTTATACTCACTGCCGTCCTTTTTTATGTGTCATCAGATAGCAGTAGATGTGATGTATTTTAAAGGTCCCTGGTCAGTTCACTCCACTTACTCTCTGTCCCTGCTACGGAATTAGAGAGACAGGGAAGGCTTCAGCATGATTTAACTGGAGGCCGGCGAGAGCTTGTGTGGGCCCTACACCGTCGTAACCGAACGATCAATAAAACCAGCTGATGAACTTTTGAAGTGGCGAACTGAGGATTCACGGCTGAGTAACCGAGAGGCCTAATGAGACCTCAACAACATTTTACCATAAATTCAACTGTATTTTTCTGAGGTTGGTCTCTTAAATTCACCTCAACAGTCAGTTTGAAGGTTTATTGATCATATGAACCTGTTTTGGTTTCTCTGGCGAGGTGATTGGATGGAGAGGTGGAGCAGGAGATCGACCAATAGAGCTGCCCGGGACAAATGGCTCCCATTGGTCAATGTTTTTGCACCTGCTAGGGTGAATGGATTTTTTCCATTCTTTTTTCTCTTCACTTTGTGGAGATCGCACTATAGGACCATGATCGCCATTTAAACGAAGTTCATAATAATTACCAATATCTCCAATCATCAACCATGCCTTTAAGCACCAGAGTCTGTGTACAAGTATGACAGACACAACATGACATTATAATTATTTTAAAGTCGCAACAATTTTGGACAAAAAAACAAACAAAAAAAAACCTGACTATTTATGCAAAGGTTAATCTTTAACAGGTGAGTGACATGACTTGGTAAAATAGGTTTATTCCATTGAGTCTGAACTGTTGAGTATTAAAGATGGGAGGGGGTTTATCACTCTACGAAAGACCGTAAAAAAACAGTCCAACTATTCAATTGCAGAGTATTATGCAATGGTGTAATTTCATCTGGCCGTCCAAACGAAGCTCAAGACCACTTCCAAAAAACATTGCTCACAGTTACACTCTCTGTCCAGCAAATGACGAATAACTTCAAGTAAACAGAACAAAGCAGAAACTAACATAAAGTCTAACTCTGTTGAAATGTTTTTGCAACAGTATGAGAAAATAAGCATAATGAAAATCTCAACCCAAAATCTCAATCCTGATCACTCAGTTATTTGGTTGAAGGAATGCTTTAGGGGAATATCTTGTTTTTGACTACAGACAGCTGGAACTAGGTTTTAGGGCTACCGCTAAGGGTAGGAGGATGGAGGAAGAGACAAGCTTCAGCTAAATTCTTGTTTAATGCCAACTTTAACAAAATGTGTTGTTTAGTCGAAGGCCAGCATCACGGTAACCATTACAGGGGTGGATAACCCGTTGTAAAACCTGTGTTTGTATTTGTTTCTTAAATGGACAAGGCAAAATGTCAGCTGTGAGTGTCCTCAAGCGATCGTCTGAAAGCAAAGCTGGAGGTTCAATTTTTTCATAATCAATAGTCCTGTTTCATGACCTTTGGATCCTGTAAGTTCTGAGTCTCTTGGGTAAAAGTTAAGCTACAAAGATTGAGGAAAACTGTGGAGTAAATGATGATAAACTGCTTGTAAGTGAATCTGTATCTCTTTATACTTGCAGCATAATTCCTTTTTATCCAAAGCCAAACACCAGTGTCACCCTGCAGTTCACATTTGAATAGGATTTCCATCCACTTGCTGCTTTGTTAATGTTATTTTCCAGCAATGATGATGAATACCAACAATTATCCAAAGCCCCAGAAAACCATGTGTTATTGATGGTGGATGCTTAGAGGAGCAAAACATAGCTAAAAAAAGGAGCTTTTCCCCTGTACCCATGAGCGCTGCTGCTTTATCTGAAAGAAACTCAGATAAAGGCCGAACATTAAAGCAGGGCGTAAGAAAAATAGTCGCTATATATGCACAAATCCCCACATGAGAGTAAAGTCACGAAGTAAGCAAAAAACTGACTCTGAGGAACTTCTAAAACAGGAACTTTTTGTGCTGCAGTTTTAGAGGTGAGTAGGAGGTGGAAGGAACTTTAGTCAAAAGGTCAACAAGTCAGTGAGTGTCAGGGTTGAAATCAACTTTTCGTTTGACTGTTTTATTTTCAACCTTTAGCTGAATTTTGGATTCAGACTGGGCTTTCTGAGTTAAAGGGATATTCTGGTGTAAATTTAAGTTAGGGTCAAACACACCGTAACACCGAGTTAGACACCCCCTCGAGAGATTAATGTTGATGACCGCTTGTTTCTCTAATGATACCAACTTTAATGACAACTGCAGGATGGCAGATGCGTCCCCCCGCAGCAGTCTGTAATGGACTGGCCTGAAGTCTCGCTACAAACAAGCGGCTGCTGGAAGAGAGAAGGTGAGTTGTGTTTAGTCTCCCTTCCTAAAGAAATCAGGCAAAGCTAAGAAGGTGTTTGGTGGCTGGTTGATGAAGTTAGGTGCTGAAGTTAGAGTGGTGTTTTTGGGTTAAGGTTTGTTTTTAGACATTTGTGTATTGCTATCCTGCGGTCGTTATTAAAGTTGGTTTAACTAGAGAAGCAACGGTCTGCAACAATCATCTCTCAAGGGGGTTTCTAACTCGGTGTTACGGTGTGTTTTACCCTAACTTAATTTTACGCCACAATATCCCTTCAATTTAACATTTTTTTCTTCTAGTCTTGCAATGTTCGAGTAGATTGTTGCAGAGGTAAAGGAGAGTCAACTAAGTCCTCCCTGAAAAATGCATCGAAGCATAAAAAACACTTGAAATCATAACAGAAAATAAACTTGTATAGAATTAAATAGAGAAGATTAACCCGCTGAACCAGTTATCAATCGTAATCTGCGCCGGTCTGCTGCACCATAGATTACACAAAGCTCTTGCATGACTTTGACCTTTTACCTTTCACAGATCATTAGCTCGGTGCCTAATCAGTTAGTGTTAGTTAGCTTACAAAGCTATCAGCGTCCTCCACCTCAGAAACAGGCCACTTGATTCTGAAGGACGAAAACCTTAACAAAAGTGAGACCGTTTGTATGTCCTGCAAGAAAGCGCCGATGCAAATAGACTGCGAGACGAATTTCACCTGATAGGACCCCATGATAACACCTGTGCCTATGCAAATCAAGTGTGAGACAAATTTCACCTGATAGGACCCCATGATAACATCTGTGCTACCATTAGCAAGCAGCAGAACGCAATGCAGCCCCAAGGTATTTTTTTTATTATCAGTTATTGCAGAGGTAATTAGAGAAATGTAGAGAAGCCGAAATTATCTCTGCTGTTATTAAAAAAAAATATATATATATATCTTGTCACACATAGAGCTGAGAATGAGTGTATGATGAAGACTTCAGTCTATTTATTATGACAAAAATTTGGAGGTTAAAATTTAAAAATTTTTAAAAAAGTTTCCAAATTGCTGTTCGGTCATTTTTCCACATCTGCAGAAACTAGCTAGATTTTGACTTTTTAAAGCAAAGTTCAGCCTTATTTCCTCGATGTTGATTGGCTCCAGCTTTGACTTTTTTTTTCCACGTTTGAGGCCTCCTCTCTGACAACGCCTCAAGTAAAATTCACTTACAACGAATTCAGCTTTACACTTATTCCCTCTGGTGACTCAAATCAACTCTTCTCTGCTCCCTCAGCCTTCCTTCTTCTTCCTCATATCTGTTTCTGAGCTCTGATTTGAGAGGGAATACAGTTAAGAGTAATATGGTTCTGTATTTTCTCTCTTTGATATCACGAGGGAAAAGGGGCCACATGGCTGAGGCTCGACTCCTTTTCATGCGTCTCATTTCCCCCGTCCTTGCTTTGTTTCCTCTGCTGTTCGCGGAGCAAACGTACCCACCAATAAGAGGTAAAAGCAGAGAGAGGGATGGGGGAAGGTGGAGGGAAAACGAGAGGATGTGGACATGGAGGACAGGGGGACTGTGAGAAAGGCAGATATTGGGGTTGTGAGGAGAGGTTGTGACTCAGATAAAAATCCATTCCAGCTGAAGTGGGGGAGGAAGGGAGGTAACAATTTTCTGCTTCAATCGCCTTGGCTCATCATGGCTGTCGGGGGAAATGTGTTAGTTACAACGTGTGTGTGTGCATGTGTGTGATATGATACACATTTGCTGTGACTGCCGCCTCCAGTCTTCATCTAACAACTCCCTCCTCACCTCACCTCTACAGGCCTCCAGCCTCCAGGAGCTTCTCCCCTGAATCTCACGGTGTGGAGTGGACTCACACGCCGCCTAAGTGATTACGTCAGATTTTCCTCCACAGCTCAGGGATTTCCTATAAGGACAAGAAGATTTGATTAATTTAGCGGCGTCTTTCGAGGGAAGCTTCTAGGTTTATGCTGGCAGAGGCGAGTGCTGTGGGATTGTGTAAACTCTTCTTTTTGGTTCATTTAACAACAGGGAAAAACTCAGGTGAAGGATTATGTTTTACAGACTTTTCATGGAGCCCCATGGTGAGTCACAGCGGACTGTGGTTACATATGGCTGCAGTGAAGGGAGAAAGAACTCGCTGTGCCGGAAACAAAAGCTGCAGATTTCGTGACTTGAGTTTGTCGATGAAATAAAGCGCTGCCTGTTTTTGTCATGTGTGTTTGTGCTGAGTGAGGGGAGTTCAGTGCTTTGTCTAAGGCAGTGTCACCCTTACATAGCTTTTGTTAGGATGTTTTGTAAATTTGGAGATGATTTGACGAAGCTGCATAAAGAAATAACAATTGTGCTCATTGCAGTCATGTACTGATGGATAACAGGAAGAAGGATAAAAGCTCCAGGGAGGCTATAGACCACCCTGCCTGTTCAGAGGAAAAGAACAGTGTCCATAGAATGAAGGTGTTAGCGTTGGCTTTTCTTGATGGTTGGTAAGTAAGGTGGAGGTGTGCAGAGGGCGCTTTGAACTTTGTTTAGACTATCTGCCCAGCAACAGCAAAACTGTATGATTGAATGTGTGTGTTAGAGATGAGTGTAGACACCTGGACCCATCTATGTGAGCGGTGAAGAAGAGACATGAACCAGCCGACATGTGAAGTCAACATCAAGTATAGGAAATTCTTCGCCTAGATAAGGCAGATCCTCGACTATAAAGGGTTCGAGGGAAAGTTGATTGGGGTTTTGAAGCGCTCAGACCTCTTGAGTTGTCTGTTTGGTAGGATGAGCTAATTTTGGACCCAGAGATCTAATACAATAAATCTTCAGCGTAGAAGTCTTCTGAATCCTCGTCTTCTCTTATTTCCATCAACCATAACTTATGAGTGGTAAATAGACCATTTATAAATGGTAAGCAGATAGTTTATTAATCTTTAATCATAGTTTATAAATAGCATAAAGACCATTAATAAATTGTAAATTTTACAATTTTAAAAATCTAACCTTAACCCTAACTTTACAATAACCATCTTAGTAACTACTTACTAATCATTTACAAAGTATTAAAAACATCAGTTGCAACTTTATAAGAACCATCTAAGTAATGTTTATAGATGTTTTAAAAACCAAATATTAACCATTTACAAAGTTCTACTGACACACATTTAAATCTAGATGTTTGACAACCAACATTTAAACCCCATATAAACCTTTAATAAATAGTCCATTAATAATCATAATTTCATTGCTTGTTAATGGTAAAGTAACTATTAACTTACATTACTAAGCTATCCATTTTCCATTTATAATTGGTTAATATGCTGTTTTTAAATGATGATTAAACATTAATAAACTATGTATTTACCATTTATAAACTATGGTTATTGTAAAGTGTTACCGTACCTTCTGTTTTGTGTTTGTTAAATTAGATGTAAGAGTGACCCTTAAGGTTATAGGAACACCACCGTTTTTTCAACACTTGGTATATCTGGTGACTCGTTATTTTCATTATTATAACTTTTACTTTATCGGGTTTGTCCCACTGAGATCCAAGATCTCTTTTGCAAGAGAGACCTGGCCAAGAATGGTAGTCACATTTATTATAATTAATCAAAATACAAATAAACATTGAATTGGCAAGATTTGTTTAAAAAAAAGAACAATTACACTATTATTCCTTATTCCTAACTATTATTTCCTAACAGTAGAAGAACGTTAGAGAAACTCTCCTATGGCTCATATGAGAGTAGAGGAACAAACAGCTTTTATCATTTCATGGTTTGGAGGACTTGTTTCTCTATTTAAAAGGGAATTATTTTGAGTTTCTTTAGTCTCAAGGAACACATTTTCTCTGGTAATAGGTTGTTATTTCTACTGAAATATGCTTGTTTTGCTTCTTGTTTTATCTCTCAATAAATTACCGAATACAGAAAGAGCTGTGTAATCTCAGTTAAATGGAAAAATACAACATCAACAAACGAGAATAGCAACAGTCTCAAAACATTACCTCGGTACATTCACCCGAGGCACACCATTTCCCTTCCCTGATAATTTAGAGGCAGTTTTCTACCACTTGAGCCGGCAGCTCCTCCCGGCACACTTCCTTAAATAGGTCAGAGGAGGTGAGACGAATCCTTTGAGTTTAAGAGCTTCTCATATACAGTTTTTAAGCTCCAACATTTATGCAGATTGTGTGCAGGCTTGCAGCGCTCAAATTGGATGTATATGAGAATAAATAACCATTTGCAGATTTGTTTTCAATGGGGGTAAACATCCTCTGTCAGCAGAATGTCTGACCCCACTGTGGCCCTGCGGGTGAGCAGGAAAAGCTATTTAAATAACACAAGAAGTGCACGAGGCGAGGCGTTCACACACACAATCTAATAAGCAGACTGTAAAAATTTCAACACACCATGTCTTGACTGAATAAAAACCACCATGGGGGCTTTAGCCCGCAAGACTCCAAGACATAAACTTTCTCATTTAGACCCAGGCATTAATTTGGAGGCAGTGCTGAAGCAACTAGACAACAGATAAAACAAAAGCAAATTAAAAGCGAGAGCCCCTCACTGATACTTAATACTCCATAAAACTCCCTGTGAGACCTCAAATACCTTCAATGATTATATGGTTGCCAGACGACATGAGGGGGTGAAGAAAGAGGGAGGGAGAGAGAAATTTATGAAACAAAATGTGTGAGTAATACCAGAAAAAGGACTGAAATAAAGCTGAGAGACTTTACGACAGAAGAAGAAGAAGAAGAAACAAGAGGAGGCAAGAACTAATTATGGGAACCAAAGTACCACAACCGACCAAAATAACCAGGACTGTATCAGATATTCCAAGCAGCTCGTCTTCCTCCAGGACTGCAGGGCTGAGATGCATCATTCTGGCAGCAAAGGGGGGGAGGGGACTTTCCAAGAAAATCTGTGCCAAGACAAAACCAGAGAAAACGAATGGTGAGTTATTGTCGAGCATTAGAAATAGATTCCTTTCAATTACAATGCACAGGAGACAAGAAACGCAGCGTGCAACTGTGCACCCTAAGACCAGTGGTTGGACCACCTGGCTTAGGCATCAAGAACCGGGCCTGACTTGAAGTGGTTCTGGATCTCAGAGATTTGTGGATTGGAAAGGGAAAGTTCATTTTTGTTCAATTTTTGGGTTCCTAGCAGCGACATAATTCTCCCTGGATTGAAGTCTCTTCACCTCTGACACATGGTGACCACAGCGGCCATGGCTATTCTTCATTTAAAAGATCTTGGGGTTATTTCCACGGCACTCCTCTTTCAGTGGCTTCATGAGCGATGATGTTAGACGGAAAGCAGCATCATGAAACCCTGTTAAATCTCCAAACTGAGCATCACATGATCTCTACAGCTAACATCATCTGTTCCTGCTCTTGTTGGATGGAGCATAATGAAGGTGGAGCTGTAATAGATAGCAGGGTCTCGAGGACATTAAGTTGCCCTCTGAGACTGTAGATAAAGGATCAAGGATGGAGGTCCGGTCTGATTCATCGCTGCCCCGGTGTCTCATTAACATCCTGGTTGGATTAAGGGTCATCTCACGCAGCTGTGGCCACACACACACAGAGAGGCTCACACTGGTATTCTTCCCTTTTCTCTGTCATGCCATTGATCGCTCTTTATTTTCACTTCCCTCTGTCTCTTCCCTCTTCTACTCCCGTTCGATCTCATTTTATCTTCTCTGCTCACTCCCTTGCATTACCTCCCCTTCTCCTCTGTCCACCCCTCATCTTTCTTATTGCCACCCTCTGCCCTCTCCTCTCTCTGCTTGTGTCAGCTTGTTAACAGCCTCATACCTTTATCACTCCCCTCTCCTTCGACTTCAGTCACCCTCCTCACCTCCCAGCCTTACCGCCTCACCTGTCTCCTGCTTCTGCCATTAACCGTTCCTCCATCCCCATGTCCTTGCATCGATGTTTTCCACTCGCTCATCTGCAGAAATGTCTCCCAACTGGTGCAATAAAGTCTGTGGAAGATTTTATGGCTCCATATTCTCCCTCCAAACTCTTAAACTGGATCAGCTTGGTCAGAGTCTGTCTATGTGCATCAAGATAACCCAAAATCACATGATTGCAACTTTCTATGATCTATATTGACTATTACTACCCCTACAGACACCCAAGACAGGGTAATTTTGATTGGGACTGAGCTCTATTAATCAATCAAACTTTATTTATATAGCACCGATTCACAACTCTACTCTATTCACAAAGACAGATGAGATAAGGATGAGATTGAGCCCCATCTTGTCAGATCAGACCCACTCCTATCCCATCTTCAGCTACGCTAGTGCAGCAATTTGCAGCATTTATCAACTTACAGTGGAAAGGAAGAACTTCCTTTAACAGGCAGAAACCTTGAGCAGAACCAGACTCATGTTAGACAGTCAGCTGCTGAGACTGCATTGGGTTTAGAGAGACTACTACACCTCCTTACACACCGGGGCTGACGCATAAATACAACGTGAAATTATGAAATATTCAGAGGCAAATTTTGAGGCGCCTGACTATACACATCAAGCGCGATGCGATTTTGTGACGTTCCGGGGGGGAAAAGAGACATGTCTCGGGTGGAAGCAAGAAGACTGACCCAACAGCAGACTGAGTTTTCAGTTCTGATTAGACTCTAGTGTTGAGATGTCTGTCTGTCATGATAGCATGGACTGAGTCGGGGCCAGAACCAGATAAGAACATTAAACTATAATTCATAAACGTAGGGAAACAGCTGAGACCAAATGGTGCTGTGACAGCAACGCGATTGAGTTTGAGTTTACAGTGAAAATATGGTATGTTGTATCTGAACAGGTTAGCTTACAAGCTAAAGTTACTTAGCACAGATG